GGATATGTGAGGGTATTCATAGGAACCCTAAAGCCAAGAGAAAACAAGGCAAAAATACCAAAAACAGTAGAGTCTAGAAATATAGTTGTTATAGTGTTATGAGTTGACTCAGTACTGTTCATGAGTCGACTCATAAGTAGCCGTTACAATCTAAAAACTAACTTATGGGTCGACTCATAAAATTCATGAGTCGACTCATCATGCATGGGTCGACTCATGAAGCCATGGGTCGACTCAGCAGAAACAAAACACACTTTCCAACGCAGTTTGTGAGTCGACTTATGACAGGCATGTGTCGACTCAACCTGATGGGTCGACTCATGATGTTATGAGTCAACTCATCAGAAACAAAATGAAAACTACACAATTGTTTATGAGTCGACTCAACATTGTTCATGAGTCGACTCAAGACATGCACACTGTCTGTTTTAAACAGAAATCTGAATTTTAAACCTCTTTTAAAAATAGCAAATAAAATCAAAAAAATGTAAAACTTTGGGAAATAATTGTAAACATGATAATAAGCATGCTATAAAAATTGGTTTTCAAAAAGGATCTCCCAAATGAAAAAATATCATTATTTTGCAAAATAGTCCAAAACATGAAAATGTAAACACATAAATTTTGACATTTTAGCTTAACCATGTTTTGAAACATTACAAAACAATTTTGTAGACTTAATAAAAGATGTATATGATTTCATTGAACTAAATAAAATTAATATTGATGAAATCATATATATGCATATAAGTATGAAACAAAAAATGTATTTTCAATTGTTCAATTGTATTCAATTGTTTAATATTAAAACTTGAAAACTATCAAACCAAAACTTGTGTATATATATATAACTATATATATACATAGAAACCAATGAAATGTATGCGTATATGATATTAAGCTTAAAGTACTTAACACACATAATATAAACTCCTAAACTAGATTACCCAAGCTATAGGTCTTCAATAAGCTCGACTTGGTACACTTACGGATAAAGCTTGAACTTGAATCTTTAACTTGAATTATAAAGCTTAACTCTACGATTCCATTAACCTCTATTAGATATGATCGTGAATGCTCAATTCCATCCATCCTCCAACTTATTGTTTGTCTACAATAAATAAAAAATCACAAACACTAGAGAAACAACATTAGTCATAAATTGTTTGTTAAACATCATCAAAACAAGAAGGCCAACACACAAATCCAAGCCTTTTAAAACTCATTAGGCGTTGGCCCCTAAGGACTCAAGCTTATTAAGGAACAAGAAATCGTTAAGTGAACTGGTTTAAGTTTACATGAATCCGTTGGTGTCTAATGCAAGGTTTATGTGTTACATAAAGTGCTCCGCAAGGAACGAGATACTTAATTGATCTTTGATCTCCCTCTACTATTATCCTTACCTAGCTAACTGACCGAGTAAACTTAAATATTTTTACTAAAGGAGTTTTAGGTTAGGAGCTAGTCTAGCTGAGTTTAGGCTTAACCCTAGAACTTGGAGTGATTGACACAAGTGATTGCTTTTGATTTGTTTTAGTTAGATTTTTCTTATATCTTTATCCTCCTTCTCATTATCTTTTAGAATTATTCTTAGTTTTCCTTTAAAAAACTAACTTTTGTTTTTCTTAGAATTATTTTAGTAAAATAAAATTAATAAAAATAAAAAGATTTTACCTTAGTGTATGAAAGATTTGATTAGGGATAATACTAATTGTTTAATCTGTTTTGAACTAATTTTTGAAGAAATGAATAATCCTAATCCACCCGTTCTTCAAGATATGTGTTACCCAACTAGGAATGCAATCTCATCTTACATTAATCTATCGAAGGTAAATGAAACTAAGTTTAAGCTTAGACCGTATTACGTAAACATGCTTCCAAAATTCTTAGGAAATGAAACTGAAGACGCTTACATCTTTATCTCCGAGTTTGAGGAACTTTGTCTTATAACTTAGATTAGGGAACTATCTGAGGATGCGATTAAGCTTAAATTTATTATGTTTGTCCTTAAGGACAAAGCCAAGAAATGGTTGTATAGCTTACCTACAAATTCTATCTCAACTTGGGATGAATTTGTTACTGTTTTTCTAAAAAAAAATTCCTATCCACAAAACAGTTAAGCTTAGAAACAATATTCAAAACTTTAAGATAGTTATAGGAGAGCTATTCTAGAAGTACTTTGATAAATTTAAGGATCTTCTTATCCAATATCCACACCACGATCTTGAGAAATGGCGATTATGCTAAATTATGTATGAAGAATTGGATTATTATTCAAAAACTTCCTTAGAATCAATGTGTCAAGGGGATTTTATGATAAAAAATATCATTGAAGCTTGGAAATTTTTAGAGAGTTTATCCGAGAAAACAAGGCAGTGGGAACACTATGATGATAGAGTTTCATCAGTTCCTCAATCCAAATCTAATGATTTTTCCTTAGAGACAAACATAGCATCTGAAGCAAATATGACTACAATCATGCGTAGGTTAGAAGCTTTAGAAGTCAAAGAACAAACCCCAACTAAAATCGATCAAGTTTCTGTCTTAGATTGTCATAACTATGTTTCTTCATCCCATGTTTTAGAGGAATGTCTTCTCTTAGAAAATAATCAACCAGTAGGACAGGTTAACGCTGCATTTTAGCATCCCATGAATGATCAATTTTCTCCAACCTACAATCCAGGTTGGTGAAATCACCCAAACTTTGCATGGAATTAGGAAAACTACTTTAAAAATTAAAACTTCACTCCATATTCAAACCAATAATTTCCTAGGGGAAACACAGTTCCTTTCAGTTCTAAACCCAGTTTTAAACAACCAAATCTGTCATATCTAAATCTGTCTCCTTATCATCAATTTGTAAATCATAACCCTTCAAATTAGGATCAAGATAAATGTATCAATATTTTGGAAAAGGGTTTAGAAATCATGATTAAAGCTTCTACACAGACCACCAACTTGTTGACTCAAACTTCCAACACTTTGAATTCCTTCATGTAATTAACCAGACAAATTCTCAATTCTAACACCCAACCCATAACTAGGTTAGAAACCCAACTTGGTCAACTAGCTAGTGCTACGAGTGAGAGAGAAAAAGAAATATTTTTGAGTCAACCCGTGGCCAATCCCAAGGAAACAGGATCAAGTTCATCCTACCAAGCTCAAGTGAATGCAATCCATTCACTATGGTTGGAAAAGCAGGTTGACAATCGAGTTAGCATGCCTCTAAGTGAAGCTCTTGAACTTGAACAAATTCTCTCTCCTTCTGATAACTCTATTCAGCAATCATCCCCTTCTGATGACCAAGAGCTTGAACCCGAACCTGAACCTAATTTTGATAGATATAAGTCAGTTACTCCCTTTCCAAACAGACTCAGGCCTAGAAAATAGTCCCCTCAGAAGGAGAAGATCCTAGAATCTTTCAAGCAAGTTAAGGTCAACATCCTCTTCTATTTATAATTGAACAAATCCCTTCTTATGCAAACTTTTTAAGAGATTTATGCACTAAGAAGAGAAGAATAAATGTTTCAAAGAAAGTCTTTCTTGTTGTAAGTATCAGTGATATACTGTCAAAGCCTATACCTCTGTAACATAAGGATCCAGGGTGTCCTACCATCTAATGTGTCATTAAAAATAGCTTCATTGATTATGCACTTTTAGACTTAGGGGCCAGTATCAATTTGCTTCCTTATTCAGTCTACCAGAAACTAGGTGTAAGAGAACTCAAACCAACCAGATGCACTTTGCAATTAGCCGATAAATCTATCAAAGTCCCCATGGGTGTGGTAAAGGATGTTATGATTAAGGTTGAGAATTTTATTTTTCCAATGGATTTCGTAGTCTTGGAATCACAGTCTGTTTTCAAACCAAAAGGACAGATACCTGTCATCTTTGGAAGACTGATCTTAGCCACTTCTAATGCTCCCATCAACTGTAAAACTGGTTAAATAAAATTATCCTTTGAGAATTTGACTGCTGATCTTAAGATTTTCAATCCATAGAACCAACCAAATAATCAGCCTCTAGAAATAAATTACATTCATGAGAGTTTGATTGAAGAGTTAGAAGAAGAGAATGAGTCAAATCTGAGTTTTGAGTAAATATTTAGTGTGGAACTGAAGACGTTAGAAGAAATAAGATCAAATCTGGTCTCCCAAAACAAAGGAACTGTGTTTGTTACGTGTTTATCTGATCTTAGTTTTGAAAAACTATTTGTGGATGAACTTAGGGTCTTAGAAAACAAACAACAACCAAAAGTTCATACCTCAACCATGAATCTTGGGTTGAGGAAATTTTTAAAGAAGAATTGGTTGTGATAGAAAAAACTTTCATAAATAAAGAATCTAAGTTCAATCAGAAATTCAAAATGCATGACACCATTGATACCTACCTTTAACTGATGTAGAATTTATTAAAACATTCGGAATACACAGAATTTAAGCACCTTTTTGAGTTTATCATCTTAGACTTTTTTAAAATATGGGGTAGATTTTTTAGTAATAAGGTAGCATTTGATGTAAAATACGAGTTTTTCATATTCAATATGTTATTCTACATTTTCACTTTTTGTGTCATAATAGTATAAATAATAAAAAGAATTTATTTTTCTCTCATTTGAGAGTTTCTTGTTCATTTAAAAAAAATAAAAAAAAAGAAAAAAAGAAAAAGAAAAGTGCAAAAAATGGAAACCAATAAAAACTCTCTTGAAACTCAAGGTGATTCTATTTTATAGCCAAAGTTGACCGAGTAATTAAGTCCAAGGATTTTTTCCATGCTTAATAACCTAAGCCCAATTGGGTTGGGATTTATTAGCCAAAAACTCATTAAATGGTCACTTAGAAAGGCCGATGAAGTAGAACAAAATCACCAAGGGATAAAGAGTAATATATATATATATATCGGTTAAATTTACAAAAGATGAAGGACCTAGATGAAAAATATCACAAACTCTAGTTGTCTTTCCTAATTAATAAGCTTCGTATCCCAAAAGCAAATAATTCCCAAACCTTCATCTTCGTCATCCCCCTCCTTCCCCAAAATCCCAGACCTAACCGCAGGACTCTTCGTCGATCTCCGTGGAAAATCCCCAAGCAAAATCCTGCTGCCCTCCTTCCCCAAGCGCCGGCGGCCCTCCTTCACCTCCGTATCCCAAATAAGCCGCCGATCTCTTTGCTGTCCCAGACCTCACCGTCGCCGCTGCCCTCCTTCCCCAAGCGCCGGCGGACCTCCTTGCCCAATCGCCGGTAAGGATTAATTAGTCCAGTATCCTTGAAGACTCCGTATCCCAAACTTCTATATGCAAGGAGTATGAAAACCATCTAGGAGGAAAAGTGATGATGATCGTGATGATAATTTAGAAAGTTATAGGTTGATGTGATGAAAAGGGGCAAAAAAATGAAACATGTAGAGAATACCATAGTAGGATTATTACAGGCTATCAAGAAGAATTCTTTTGCAGGATGGTGGCTGGGAAGTACTTGGACCAGGTGTAGGGGATGATATGCAAGGAAGAATTCTTACATTTTCTGTGTACTTGAATTTTATTTCAAATTTCTAAAACATTGCATGTGTTGTGTAATTTCTTTAATGTTTTATTTAACTGTTTGATGTATTTTAAATCTTTGGATGATATAGTTATACTAATGGAAATTGATTAATATTGTTTAGGTCAATTTTAATATGGCTGATGTTCATGTAGACAGTTTGATGACTGATTAATATTAGTTGACTGATACATCTTATTTACAGCTAGTTTTAATTATTCATCTGATTCTTGTTTATTTATACAGGCAGAATTTGAAGTTCATCATCCTAGCAATAAGTCATTCTCATCTGAAGTGGCTGGAACCTCAAAATCTAGTGGCTTTGGCTTTGTCTCATTCTCATCTGTAGGAAGCTGAAGCTGCTATATCATCATGTAACAATGCCGTAAGTTCTGAACCTCTGTACCACATTTATACATTCATGATTGATAGGAATTTTCATACACGCTTCATGTATGACTAGTAATAATCATGACAATCAGAAGATTAAGAACAATTGATTGGTATGCATTCGTTTCGTACATGTTTCATTTATGACTAGTACTAGGTCCATGTACCTTTGCCTTAGTAGTAGAAGCTTACAAACCATTATTCCCTTTCAATTATGGCTATCAGTGATGGAATTTCACCACATTGTTACATGTTTTTGCATCATTTTGCCTTGCAGCAACTATGAAATGTGTAAAATTGTCAAATTGCAGTTACGACACCTCATAGCGACATCGCAGTTTACCTTTCTAATATTTATCTATTTTTCAGTTTTTGTAAGGGCAACGGATCTGTGTCAACAAAGCCTAATGCTGATGAAGCTTTGGAAGTCTTCAAAATGCTGTACTTTTGTATATTAGGATAGGCTTTGATGGAATTTCCAAAGACTTATTTTCTCAGAAGACACAAATATGAACAGGATTGCAGCTGATGCATCTTTTGGATTCAGTTTATATGTGCGACCCCTTTTTGGGACTGTCAGCTTGTTCACTTGCGTTGCTAAAAATATGGGCAGAACCCCGTTCTGTGCTTTTGCTTGCCACTTCGTCATGATGTATTTATTTTGAGTAATAATGCATTGTTTTGGAGAATGAGAAACTAGAAACACATTTTGTTCTCATCATTTTGTTTTTTCTTAATTACCCAATATCTTTTTTTGTTCTTCACCTTCTTTTTTTGTTCCTATTTCTCTGGCTGATCAATATGATCAAGGAGAAGGATAGCGAAGCCTCAGAGGATCCTTGTTGATTTATGACTTTTCTGGCTGATGGAATTTCACCTTCTTTTTTCTGTTCTTTTGTTTCTCATCATTTTGTTTTTTCTTAATTACCCAATATCTCTTTTGTTCTTCACCTTCTCTTTTCTAGTTCTCATCATTTTTTTCTGTTCTTCTGTTTCTCTGGCTGTTCATTATGTGGTTTTTACTTTAGATTATGCACTTTTTAACTGTCACATTTCTGTATTCTTGCAAAAAATGATGAAATTAGAACAAATTTGAAATAAGCAATGTTTGAATACTTGGAGGATAGTAAAACATCGGAGGGAGGTTGATACTGAAACAAAAGAGAGATGATTTTGTATGTAATAGCTCATTTCATTCCTTCACAAGAGATTTTTTATACACTCGGACAAAATGAACGTGCATAATATTTCCAGGTGTGTCGGACACCAAGTATTCATCGAGGGAAGTGCTCTGGGGATCGTTGCTAAATGTTTTCTGACCAAATTAGCTAGTTTAGTGTTTGCTTGGTTTGAAGTTGACCCAGCCATATAAGCTAATAGTACAAGTCAAATTCCTATTTGGAGTGGGTTTATTTCTGTAAGCGACCATTACTTTTACCATACAGGAAGAAGCATTACTTTTACCGAGATTACTTTTACAGTACATTTGATTAATATTTCTCAAAATTTTGAAATTGGAAAGGATGAAACACTGATAAGCATAAAACTTCAATTTCCTTCAGAAAAGGAGGCTTAGGCAATGATCCGATGTAAGTATAGCAACAAAAGCCTGAATGATTCAAACCTGGTACCTCATTGATTAAAATTCTTGATTCTCGTGAACGATATAAGTCAAAGGAGACCCATTAGAATGTACTAATAGAACTATAGATGCAACCGACTATTGCACAAATTCCAAAGTCTTATATTACATGAATTGCAAACTCTAGAAACATGCCAAGCTGAAGCTCAGTTGGCTATACTCGTAGAAACTGCCCGAGTCAAAAAATCGTCAACAGAAAGGCTTGCGTCTCCATGTGCAACTACATCTTCTGGTTCTGGCATGAATAGACTGGGAGCAGTAATATGAAAGGCAATAGCAAAGCAACAAGATAAGTCAAAGGCACAACACTTCCCTCCAATTGGAAAAAAAATAACTTCATCGGTAGAAACATGGAGATGAAATTAAAATATACAGTAACCGCACATAGACCCCCACCCTCCTTGTAGTATCATTCTAGTTGGCGTATTTCTGGTGACATAAAAGTATTGACAGAAAAAACAAAGTGAATGAAAATTTTACTAAGAGTGCAAGAAAAAAGAAATTAAACATCAAAATACCTAGTTGTTTTTCGGAGTCGGATGGTGAACTTCAAATTCTGCATGTATAAATAAACAAGAATCAATTGAATAAATGGAACTAGTTGTAAATAAGATGCATCACTCAACTAATGTAAATAGCTTTGTGAACAATTAAACATTAAAATACCTAGTTATTTGATAGGTCAGCAACAAGAGAATTAGTGCAACTACTTTTATAATGTCCCTTTTGACCACATCTGCCGCATGTCCTCTTTTTTATCTCCTCTTTTTCCTGTGCTTGTTCAAGTCCCGATTTCAATCTACTAATTGTTCTCGGTCGTCCCTTATATTTTGTAGACTTGAGAGGGTCACGAACAGTGATTTGAGGGAGTTTCTCAATATTATGGGAATGAGTACTAGATTCAACCCGACTCGTAGCTTCAGTCCCTTTGATTTGCTTAGCACTGATATCTTTTTCATGTTTTTCCATCAAGTTAGAAAAAAGTTATGCATTTCATCAAAGACCATAGGTGATTCATGTGCACATTCCATCACGTTATTAAATTTTGCTCTCAAAGCCCAAGAACGCAAAGTACTCCATTGTTCTCTATTACTATTAAAGTTTTTTTCCAACAACACATTAGAGACTCCAATATTACGGTGCCTTGCATTCATTGTCCATCTATGCATAATGTATTCTTCAGGAATTCTTACCAACTGATTCGATATCATAATATGAATGGCATGCCTACATAATATTCCTTCGGTCTCAAGCATAGCACATGTACATGTTATTCTCTGTTCATTTTGATTATAAACTACTTGCTCCCATACACTTCTTTCAGTAGAGAGCGAGCCAACTATGTATTTAGAAATTGATTCTTCTTTTTCCATCTCATCATGAAACAAAGATACAGAAGCTTTAAGCTCATCTTGAAACCTCTCAAATATAGCTCTTGTATATGACTCTCCAGCTTGAATCTCAATCGGATGGTTTAGATGCATCACAGGCGTTGTATTCAAAGTAGCAAAATCTTCACTTAATTCTTGAGAACGACGCGATAATATTGCTTTATCATATTGCTCAACAAAGTCGGGAAACAATGTTTGTGACTTGACGTATGTGTCAAAGAAGGCATTTATGCTTTCACTACGTTGGCTTGATGTCATTCCCGCAAAGAAAGTATCTTTGAGATAGCATGGAACCCAATGTGTTCTATTTCTGTACATGGTTTGTAACCAACCTGTTGGACCCTAGAGGGGGGGTGATTAGGGTCAAGAGGCTCTAATATGCAATATAAATTCAGCACAAGCAAAACACAAAACAAAAATACGATAAAAGTAAGAGAGATAGGGTTAGGAGTTCGTTATCCTTGACGCGCGATGTGTTAACGAGGTTCGGCCCTCTGGCCTACGTCCCCGCTCCCCACTCTCGAGGAGAAATCCACTACACACCCGGTTTGGAAGCCGGAACTTCGTCTACACAGCGATCTCCACAGATCTCTCTCACTACACAGTTTGATCTCAACAGATCACACTCCCTCACAGTAGATCTCCACAGATCTCACTCACACAGCAGAAGAAAGAAATGCAAGAACCTCTCTTTACACAGCCCTTAAAGAGAAGGTTACTGAAGCTGGGAAGTGAAACACACTTAAAAACAGAGAGAAAACAGACTTTGAAAATTTTACTCAGGAAAAAAAAAAGGCTCTCTGATTTTGCATACGTTAGGGCTACTGAAGAAGAAGAAGACTGGGGGGTTTTATAGAAAAGATAAAATCATTTGAAAACAAAACCCAATCTTCCCATTTAGGAAGATAATCTCCTTTTCAGGTTGTTAGCTCAGACTGTGCCAAACACTATTAAGTGAAAGCACAACAATCGAGGAAAACGACCGTTTTAAAAAAGTCACGGTTGACTGAAAGAAAATTTCGGTCGTCCGAAATAAACCTTCGGTCGACCGAAAAATCACGTCGGTCGACCGAACGAAAAATTCGGTCGACCGCGAGCTGCTTCGAAAACTTGGAAAACAAACAGAACCATCGTCGGTCGACCGGCCCGGTCGACCGATTTGAAAATCGAGATTTCGGTCGACCGTACCGGTCGACCGACGACCTCTCTAGAAAATGTCGACCGGACCGGTCGACCGCTTTCTGACATTCTTCAGAAAACAGGTTTTTGACCAACTTTAAATATTTGCAAAATATTTATTTGACCTCTGAAAAATCTGAAACTTTGTAAAATGTTTTTAATACTAAAAACAAACTGTTTGGAAAAAGAATTTTGCAGATAGGTCCTCATACTTGTGAAAAATAGTATTTTGTGAAAAACGCTTAAAAACACAAGTATGAAAACGTGTGTGTGATTCCCAATAGCTTCAAGTAAACTCAGTAACTCTTTGCCTACATTCTAGCACTAGAGAGAAAAACAAAAGAAAGCTAATATCCTCATATTGAAAGCAATACTTGAGCTTTGATATAGCTTGAATCGGATGAAGCTTTTAGTCGAATTTGTCGTTCTTGAAATAACGTTGCTTCATCTCTTGGCCTCATCCTCCTTTGGATATCTTCGTTGTAGCGTATATTCCATCCATCCTCCGTTAATGGCACTAACGAGCTTGATAAATGAACTTACTACATTTACACTCAATAAGCCATTAGTACCGATAATGGTGGTTGTAAGAACATCATCAAAACATAAGGGCTAACAATCTCCCCCTTTTTGATGATGACAACCAACCATTATATAAGAGCAAAAATGAAATAGCTTATAGATAGGTGCTCCCCCTATCTATGAGCTCCCCCTAAATATATGCAACAAATGAGGAGATTTCTCTCCCCCTTTGTCACCATCAAAAATGGGGAAAGAAATACAAAATGCAAGATGCAACTAAACAAGCAAGCAATGTAGAACTTTCACATAGTGCATAAGCCCAAACCATTTCTTATGCGACAAAAATCATCCTCTCCAAGAGGCTTAGTAAATATATCCGCTAGTTGAGATTTGGTGTCAACAAATACTAGGGATACATCTTGTCTCTCTACATGATCGCGTAAGAAATGATGGCGCACGTCAATATGCTTAGTTCTAGAATGCAAAACCGAATTTTTGGAAATATTTATGGCACTTGTGTTATCACAAAAGATTTTAATATTTTGAAAATTCAAATCATAGTCAACTAAACTTTGTTTCATCCATAAAACTTGAGCACAACATAAGCCGGCGGCAATGTATTCCGCTTCCGTAGTGGACAATGCAACACAATTTTGTTTCTTGGAAGCCCAAGAAACAAGGGAATTTCCTAAGAATTGGCATGTTCCACTAGTACTCTTGCGATCTACCTTACATCCGGCAAAGTCGGCATCACAAAAACCATATAAATCAAAAGAAGTGCTTCTTGGATAAAATAAACCAAGGTTAAAAGTTCCATTAACATACTTAATGATCCTTTTAACCGCAATTAAATGAGATGCTTTTGGAGACGCTTGAAAACGTGCACATGCACATACACTAAACATGATGTCGGGTCTACTAGCGGTGAGATAAAGAAGACTACCTATCATACCTCGGTATAGTTTTTGGTCCACATCTTCACCACTCTCATCCGCATCAAGCTTAACACTAGTACTCATGGGAGTAGGCGCATGCTTAGAATTCTCCAACTTGAATTTCTTCACCAATTCCTTCGCATACTTGCTTTGTGAAATGAAGATCCCATCCTTAGTTTGCTTGACTTGGAGCCCGAGAAAGAATGTAAGCTCTCCCATCATACTCATCTCAAAGTGATCCTGCATAACTTTAGAAAATTCCTTGCACAAGGATTCATTAGTAGCACCAAAAATAATGTCATCCACATATATTTGAACTAAAATGAAATCATTTTTCCTTTTTCTCACAAAAAGTGTGTTATCAATTGTTCCTTTTGAAAAACCATTTTCAATAAGAAAACTAGAGAGGCGAGCATACCAAGCCCTAGGAGCTTGTTTCAACCCATATAAAGCTTTTTGTACCCGGTAAACATGATTAGGAAAAGCATGATCTATAAAACCGGGGGGTTGCTCAACATACACTTCCTCTTCTATAAAACCATTTAAGAAAGCACTTTTGACATCCATTTGAAATAGTTTGAAATTTTTAAAACTAGCAAATGCCAAAAACATCCTAATAGATTCCAACCTTGCAACCGGTGCAAAGGTTTCATCATAGTCTATGCCCTCCTCTTGATTGTATCCTTGGGCAACCAAACGTGCTTTATTTCTAGTTACAATGCCATGTTCATCAAGTTTGTTTCTAAAAACCCATTTTGTACCAATAACACTAGCATTGTTAGGTCTAGGAACTAACTTCCAAACTTCATTTCTTTGAAAATTGTTTAATTCTTCATGCATAGCCAAAACCCAAAACTCATCATTTAAAGCATCATTAACCTTTTTAGGTTCTAGTTGAGATAGAAATGCAACATTACCACATTCACTCAAGGCTTTTGAGCGAGTTATAACTCCTTTTGAAGGGCTCCCAATGATTTGTTCCTTTGGATGATTTGATGTGAATTTCCAAGCTTTAGGTGGTTCAACTTGATCTTGAGCGTTTGTGCTATCCACATCCTTTTGAACTTCTATAGAGGGAGTGTCATTGATTTGCAACAAGTCCAATCCTCCCTCAATATCATCATCATCATCTTTCCTAGGCAACACAACTTGAGAGCCAACATTAGTCTCATCAAAAGTAACGTTTATAGACTCTTCAACAACGAGGCTTCGTTTATTGAAGACCCTATAAGCCTTACTTCGAGGTGCATAACCCAAGAAAATACCAACATCAATTTTGGAATCAAATTTATCATGGTGATCTTTTGTATTTAAAATAAAGCATTTGCAACCAAAGACACGAAAATAACCAATGAAAGGAGTTTTTCCATAATAAAGTTCATAAGGAGTTTTCTTAAGCTTTGGTCTAATCAAAACACGATTTAAAACAGGGCAAGCCGTATTGACGGCTTCCGCCCAAAAATATTTTGGTAAATCAAATGAGTTTAACATAGTGCGTGCCATCTCTTGTATGGTACGATTTTTCCGTTCAACAACACCATTTTGTTGTGGTGTTCTAGGAGCGGAAAACATATGAGTTATACCATGATGAGCACAAAAATCATAGAAAAATTCATTTTGAAATTCACCACCATGATCACTTCTTATTTTAACAACTTTCAAATCCTTTTCATTTTCAATTCTTTTAACATGATTAGCAAATTCTTCAAAACAATCATTTTTCTTAGCAAGAAATATTGTCCATGTAAAACGAGAAAAATCATCAATAATCACAAAAACATAGTGTTTGCCTCCAAGAGAGGTAACACGCATAGGACCAAATAAATCAAGATGAAGTAATTGCAAGGGTTTAGAAGTCGATACCTCATGGATGGATTTGAAAGAAGACTTTGTTTGTTTACCTTTGGCACAATCCTCACAAATTGTATCTTTTATGAAGTGCAAGCTAGGTAGCCCTTTCACAAGATTCTTCTTAGACAATTTTGATATTAACTCCATATTTGCATGTCCAAGTCTCTTGTGCCAAATCCAAGGATTTTCATCAATTGCCGCAAGACACTTCACATCTTGATTCACTAACTCATTCATCTCAAAAATGTAAACATTAGACTTGCGATTTGCAATAAAAACAATTTTTCCATCCATACTAATGATGCATTTATCCGGTTTAAAAGAAATATCAAAACCTTTATCACTTAATTGGCTAATGCTAAGAAGATTATGATTCAAGCCATTTACTAAATAAACATCTTCAATAATGGGTGAGGGTTTCTTACCAATAGAACCGATACCAATGATTTTACCTTTCTCACCACCACCGAAGGAGACATTGCCTCCTTCAATCCTTGATAGGGTTGCAAATAACTCTTTGTTGCCCGTCATATGATGTGAGCAACCACTATCAAGGTACCACATCTCCTTACGTCGTTGCCGTGACGTTCCCTACAAAAGAAGAAGATGAAGGTGTAGTAGCTTTAGGTACCCATGTCTTGGGTCCTTGGTGGTTAGTAGTTTTGGTACCTTTGGGTACCCATATCAAACCATAAAAATCTTCATTGTCTTTAATTCTACAATGAGTAGAAATGTGTCCATGTCTCATACAATAGGTGCATACAAAATTTCTTTTGTATGTACGAATGTTAGAACCATGAAACCTATTTCTACCATGGTGATTGTAGTTGGCATAAGCATGAGTGGGTCTAGTCCTACAACCCTCAATTTCTAGTCTTTCAATCTTTGATCTTAATTGCTTGTTCTCAAAATCGAGATCTCCAAGCAATTCATCTTTTAGAGCAAGAGAGGTTGTTAGTTGTTCTAGCTTAATATCACAAGAGGCATGCAATTTTTTGAAAGAAGAGTATTCTTTAGACATTCTTTTAAATTCAAAGTTCAACTCTTCTAAAGCCATAGCTATGTCACATTGCATATAAAAAGATTCACTTTCGGCCTCGGATATTACCTCATGTTCATTTGCCATGAAACAAACATTTGGGTCATGAAGAGCAAGTTTGGCTCCTTCTTCATCACTATCCGAGTCACTTGGTTCGGATTCTTCCCATCCGGCATACATAGCCTTCTTCTTCTTGTACTTCATGTACTTTTCTTTGAGCTTGGGGCAATCCTTAGCGATGTGACCCGGTTCATTGCACTCAAAACATTTACCTACACGAGAGGAAAACTTGTTGTTAGATCGAGGGTTAAATTTTTTGTTCATTTTTATAAGTCTAGAGATTCTTCTAGAGAGATGAGCCACTTCTCTAGAAAAATCAACTTCACTCTCCGACGACGAAGATGAGTTGTCACTAGCTCCCTTGAGAGCTATGGTCTTCAACTTTGGTGACGGCTCCTCAACTTCTCGTGATGGCACTTCCTCCTTCTCCTTCCCCTTGAGCTTCTTCTCATGCACTTTGAGCTTTCCGATGAGACTATCAAGAGCTAAGATAGTGAGGTCATGAGCTTCCTCAATGGCCGTAGCCTTGGGCTCCCATGCCGGAGTCAATGAGCGAAGTATCTTGTAGTTCATCTCTTGAATGGATAATTGCTTATCTAGACCATGTAATTCATTGATGATATTAGTAAAACGGGAAAACATAGCATCAATGGATTCATTAGGAAGCATTTTAAATAGCTCATAATCATGCATGAGTCCACTAATCTTAGATTCCTTAACTTGGGGTGTTCCTTCATGTGTGACACATAATTTTTGCCAAATTTCGTATGCGGTTGCACACGTGGAAACCCTATTGTATTCATTGGGGGAAAGACCACAGATTAAGGCGTTCATGGCCTTAGCATTGAGATTGGCAAGGTGCCTTTCATCATCGGACATGTTCTCAACTTTGGACTTCTCTACATATTTCTTTTCTATAAGCCCTAGGATGTCAAGATCAATGCAACGAAGGTAAATTCTCATCCTAGCCTTCCAATAAGCAAAATTGGTCCCTGTGAAGAGAGGTGGTCTAGTGGTGGATTGTCCTTCCAACATATGCATATTCAAAGAGGCCTCCATTAGATCTTTTCTCTAAGGTTGTTAAACCAAAAACTGATATAGAGACCAAGCTCTGATACCAATTGTTGGACCCTAGAGGGGGGGTGATTAGGGTCAAGAGGCTCTAATATGCAATATAAATTCAGCACAAGCAAAACACAAAACAAAAATACGATAAAAGTAAGAGAGATAGGGTTAGGAGTTCGTTATCCTTGACGCGCGATGTGTTAACGAGGTTCGGCCCTCTGGCCTACGTCCCCGCTCCCCACTCTCGAGGAGAAATCCACTACACACCCGGTTTGGAAGCCGGAACTTCGTCTACACAGCGATCCCACACGATCTCTCTCACTACACAGTTTGATCTCAACAGATCACACTCCCTCACAGTAGATCTTCACAGATCTCACTAATCACAGCAGAAGAAAAGATGCAAGAACCTCTCTTTACACAGCCCCTATAGCAAAGAGAAGGTTTACTGAAGCTGGGAAGTGAAACACACATAAAAACAGAGAGAAAACAGACTTTGAAAATTTTACTCAGGAAAAAAAAAAGGCTCTCTGGTTTTGCAAACGTTAGGGCTACTAAAGAAGAAGAAGACTGGGGGGTTTTATAGAAAAGATAAAATCATTTGAAAACAAAACCCAATCTTCCCATTTAGGAAGATAATCTCCTTTTCAGGTTGTTAGCTCAGACTGTGCCAAACACTATTAAGTGAAAGCACAACAATCGAGGCAAACGACCGTTTTAAAAAAGTCGCGGTTGACTGAAAGAAAATTTCGGTCGTCCGAAATAAACCTTCGTCGACCGAAAAATCACGTCGGTCGACCGAACGAAAAATTCGGTCGACCGCGAGCTGCTTCGAAAACTTGGAAAACAAACAGAACCACCGTCGGTCGACCGGCACGGTCGACCGATTAGAAAATCGAGATTTCGGTCGACCGTACCGGTCGACCGACGACCTCTCTAGAAAATTCTGAGGAATGGTCATGGGAGCGGTCGACCGGACCGGTCGACCGTCTGTTCATTTTGATTATAAACTACATGCTCCCATACACTTCTTTCAGTAGAGAGCGAGCCAACTATGTATTTAGAAATTGATTCTTCTTTTCCCATCTCATCATGAAACAAAGATACAGAAGCTTTAAGCTCATCTTGAAACCTCTCAAATATAGCTCTTGTATATGACTCTCCAGCTTGAATCTCAATCGGATGGTTTAGATGCATCACAGGCTTTGTATTCAAAGTAGCAAAATCTTCACTTAATTCTTGAGAATGACGTGATAATATTGCTTTATCATATTGCTCAACAAAGTCGGGCAACAATGTTTGTGAGTTGACGTATGTGTCAAAGAAGGCATTTATACTTTCACTACGTTGGCTTGATGTCATTCCTGCAAAGAAAGTATCTTTGAGATAGCATGGAACCCAATGTGTTCTATTTCTGTACATGGTTTGTAACCAACCTTCCTCATTTTCTTCTATATTGAACTTTTCTTTTAACTCATCCCATTGCTGAATACATGTTTCAACTGTCTTGCTATGCCACCATCTATTAAAGTAGTTTGCAAACTCTTCTCCATGCAACTTTTGTAGATATAATAAATGATCAACCATGTGCTTGCCAAGATGCCATTTGCAATAGCGATGTCGAGTATTTGGAAACACTCTTTGAATGGCATTACATATAGCTTTGTCCTGGTCTGTAATAATAGCATGCGGAGCCACCCCATTCATACATTTAACCCATTCAGTAAACAACCTGACAAATGTGTCTTCTTCCTCATCTGCAAGTAGTGCACAACCAAACAAAGTTGACTGTCTATGGTGGTTAACACCAGTAAATGGAGCAAAAGGCAGTGCTAACTTGTTAGTTCTATATGTAACATCAAAAACAACAACGTCATGAAACTTTAAGAATGATGCCCTTGCCCGTCCATCTGCCCAAAATACACTCCTCATAGTTCCTGTAGTATCTAATTCAATAGCAAAATAAAAATCTGGATCAAATGTCCTTTTATCTATGAATTTTTGAATGACTAATATGCATTCATTACCCATGTTATTCTTTCTCTGTTTTCTGATATGATCACTACATTGTTGCGGTGTGACGATTTCCTCCCGATTCCCATTACCAACATTTATTACTCGTGAAATTGTTGCTGGCGGAAGCCCTTCTTCATGCAAACTATCAATCAGACTTCGAACATTTATTACTCGTGAAATTGTTGCTGGCGGAAGCCCTTCTTCATGCAAACTATCAATCAGACTTCGACAACCTTTTGTTCGATGTAACTTTCGATGTGAATAATGATTCTTAACCTTATCTGGACTAGTCAACTTATGATTTGTATGCTCATTAACAAGTTTGCTCACTATCCATGTACCTTTATCAGTACGATTTACCCGCAACATCGCCTTGCAACCGACTCTAGTATCTCTTCGACGCTTGACTATTTTTCCGTGCTTTCTCTTATCATTTATAAATTTTAGACCCTCCTTATTACAAACAAATTTCTTTGATATGAGTTCTTTTCCTTCTTTCCTAGAGTAATTGCCTGAGCTTATGCGGACACTGAATCCGTTTATTTTTGCATAATCATTGTAATAATCATACGCAGCAGTATATGTGGGAAATTCCATTCCAATCCATGGTTCCACGGTATTGGACTTGCCATTATCAATAGAATTAACATGATTAATTTTCTCTTGCTCCAACTCATGCTTTGTATTACTACAATCAACAAATCCACTTCCTTCCACATTATCAGTCATCAAACTGTCTACATGAACATCGGCCATATTGAAATCGACCTAAACAATATTAATCAATTTTAATTAGTATAATTATAACATCCAAAGATTAAAAATACATAAAACAGTTAAATTAAGGAGAAAATAACTTCTAAATAATTTCAAAATGTTAAAATCTCAATTAATCTAAAGATTGAAAATACATCAAACAGTTAAATTAAGGAGAACAATTCAATTTCCATTAGTATAATTATATCAAAGATTGAAAATACATCAAACAGTTAAATTAAGGAGAACAATTCAATTTCCATTAGTATAATTATATCATCCAAAGATTGAGAATACATCAAACCGTTAAATTAAAGAGAAAAACAAGCATGATGAAAGTAGTCTACCCAAAAATAATATTGCACCTAAAGATTCTGACGCCATTGATGCTGACGGTAATGGAACTATATATTATATTTTCCCAAAAAAGATTAAGATGAATGTTTAACTAATTGTGCAAAATGCTACAGATATTGATCAGTAATGTCAAGGAGTTTCCATGTCCCGTGAGGAAAACGTTAGCAATCTGAAAGCTGTGAGTCTTCAAGGATGAAACTTTTATGCCCTACCACCGGTTGTTATTCCTTTCTATTTCACAAGCATGAGAATTTTATGCCCTAGCATATGGATACTGGACTAATTCATGATTTTTTTCTTAAAGAAGCATCATGGCATGCAAGTTCCACACAATCCTAGAAGTTATAACTTGCTTGAGGTATTTATTTACAATTACAGTACTTGAAATTTTTTCTAAGAATTTTGATAAATTTATGAACTTTAGCATTAAAGCCCTAATAAGAAGTATAGTCTTGTTGAGCAATAATTCTATGTAACGTTTTTTTGCCCCTTTTCATCACATCAACCTATAACTTTCTAAATTATCATCACGATCATCATCACTTTTCCTCCTAGATGGTTTTCATACTCCTTGCATATAGAAGTTTGGGATACAGAGTCTTCAAGGATACTGGACTAATTAATCCTTATCGGCGATTGGGCAAGGAGGTCCGCCGGCGCTTGGGGAAGGAGGGCAGCGGCGACGGTGAGGTCTGGGACAGCAAAGAGATCGGCGGCTTATTTGGGATACGGAGGTGAAGGAGGGCCGCCGGCGCTTGGGGAAGGAGGGCAGCAGGATTTTGCTTGGGGATTTTCCGCGGAGATCGGCGAAGAGTCCTGCGGTTAGGTCTGGGATTTTGGGGAAGGAGGGGGATGACGAAGATGAAGGTTTGGGAATTATGGGCTGTTTGGTTGTTGTTGGTAAAGTTGTGTATTTATGACACAACTTGGAAAGTTTTTGTCCACCTCATCAATTTCACTTTTATACTTTTCTTTGTTTGTTTATGATTCCATTGGAATCATAAAACACTTGTTTAGTTTGTATATATATGTTCTTGAAAAATAATTTGGATTAAGAGACTTGAAAATTATTTAAAACAAAGAGTTAGAATGTTCTTTTCAAAACGTTTAAATTAAATTTCTAAGTTAGACTTGGTTTTGTATAGCTATAATGAAATGATTTTCTAGGAGATTTACCTTAGAGTTATAAATAAAAATATTTTCTTAAGTACTAACTAGCCTCAATTAGAATGTTTAAATATATCAAGTAAATTAATTTATTACAACTTCTTCAAATTGGTAAGTCAACCAAATTTTTTGGGTATATTCATTGCAAACCCTCACGAGACTACAACTCGTCCTCTAGGGTAATCTAGGGGTTTAAAGGCTTGTTGTATGCGCTAAATATAATCGTGATACCTGCGAAAGTGAGTTAGTATTTTCATGTCTTTCTCTTTTATTTCTTTCTTTGCTAGAGAACTAACAAAAGTTTAGGTGTGGGGGTATTTAAAATTATATTTTTATTATAATTTTATACTCTTATTATCTAGTATATATCAATAAATATACCACTAATACTATGTTTTATCTGAATTTATAGGTTAATGAAGAATTAATGAAAAAAGCCCAAAAGACTCAAACCTCTTGGATTTCATCCAAAAATGAAGACAAAAAAGGGCCCAAGAAAGCTCAAAGATACATAAAGAAATCGGGTTAAGAAATCAACAAAATAAAATTGGTGCAATTAATAAAATATTTTTAATTCTTGTGTCATAATATGTTTAAATCTGATGCAAACCAACCAAAACCAACCAAGGGGCCAACCGATTGGTGGTTGGCAGAATCAGATTTGTGGCTAGATTTTAATTCTTGTTCTCCAAGTTAACCGATTGGTGGTTGGCAGAATCAGATTTGTGGCTAGATTTTAATTCTTGTTCTCCAAGTTTCATCCAGGTGTTCTTATTCATTATTTTGGGGTATAAATAGGAATAGAGAGTGAGGGTTAGAGTATGATTTTTTTTGTAAAAACTCTATTTGGAGTAGAGAGTTACTCTTAATTGACAAGACCTTTCAAAATTATTACTTTTTGTTGCAATTAATAAAATATTTCTTTGTCACCTCTTCATATTTTTTTCTTCACTTTTTTTTGATGATGAAGATGAAGAGGAGATGAAGATGAAGATCAAGATGAAGATTTGCCTTCATCAAGAGGCTAAAACCCTCTTAGAATATAAAATTTCTCTTTCATCATTTTATTTTCTTATAATATTTTTTTTCTTGCTTTAGATATTTAAGGAGCTAGAACCCTCTTGAATTAGATTTATTTTCATGCTTGTAGAGTAGATTTATATTCATGTCTTTATTTTCTTACAGTTTTATTTTATAGTATAGATTTAATTTCTTTCATAGTGTAGATTTTATTTTATTGCACTATTCACCAACAGGCTAGAACCCTCTTAGGAATTAGTTTTTATTTTAATTTATTCTTTTCCTTTCATTTTCTCACTTAGAGGCTAGAACCCTCTTTGAAGATAATTTTTATTTTCTTTTACTATTCACCAAGAGGTTAGAACCCTCTAGGGAATTAGTTTTTATTCATTCTTTTCTTTTCATTTTCTCACTTAGAGGCTAGAACCCTATTTGAAGTTAGTTTTTATTTTTATTCTCTCCTTTTTATTTCTTTATTTTTATTTTCTAAGATGTGGAACTAATTCTTGTAGGAATTCTAGAATTGTATGAAACTAGTTAATTTCTTTTATGAATTGTGAATTATTCTCTTGTGCTTAAAATAATCATGATTAGGATAATTAACTAGAGAACTAATTGGTAGGAGGAATTCTAAAATTACTATCTAGTTGTTGCTCTTTTCATGAATGTTAATTTTGCTTAGATGATAATTTGATAGGTTGTGTTTTTGTTAAATAGTTTGATAATCAATGCTTAATAAATCTAAATTAAAATGTGATAAAAAGGGAATGGTTCATAATTTATAATTAAAATTGACTAGTAGATTCAATTCTAGATTCATCATATCTCTAATTTAATCCTCCATCTTTTATCTTCTTCATTTTCCTCTTTATTTTTGATTTTTCTCTTTCTTGATTTTGTTTTCCTTTATTTCTTTCTCTTGTCTCAATCTCCTTTTGTTTTTATTTGCACATATTCACAACCACTTTTCTTATCTCTCCGCAAACCACTTGTTTCACTCCTAGTTGTCACACACACAAAATAAGAACCGATTTTGATAAATTTCTACGAACATCTTTCTCATAGGATTGATAACTTTTTAGACTTTGACTTGATAATTTGCGCTTGCAACTTTTGGTTATTATTTTTACCACACCAGTTATGTTGTTTGTATAGTCCATTAAGACAAATATGAATCTCGCTTTCTTTTAATGTGGTTTGTGAAACGTGTTGAAATGTGTTATGAAATATAATACGGATTACATGCGTCTATTTGACATGGTTTTGTGATAATTGAAAGAAGTGAAATGATCTATTTGGCATACAAGAAACAACCAACTTGGACATAAGTGATGGGGCCAATAGACAGCTTAAGGTACAACTGCTCTTAGGAGAAAATTTGTTAAAGTGACATTCAGTTTTGATCTATTTGCTTTCCTTTAATACTGCGCTATAATTAGTAATCTTACCATAACATGTTAGGGGGTTATTACCAATGATATAATGTGTTTATTGATATTTCAGTTCAAGTGATTAGCTGATATAATGAGTAAATTGACATTCAGTTTTGATTTTAGTTTTATTGCATTTACTCATGATATTGATTTATGATCAATCAAAATTAATGATTGAATTTACTATCTTACGCTCTTATGAACTGTAGCATCAATCATTTTTTACAACTCTACATGCTTCTTAACTACAAATAAAGAACTCGATATTAGCTTATTGTGCTATTAAGATTTGATATTCATTATTTTGCTAAAAACACTAGTTTAAAAATAAGCTCACTGAACCCTGGCTCACCTGGTATTTTTTAATGTTTGTTTTTATATTTTTCATAAGACCAGGTTCAAGCAAGGCCGGCCCTGGGTAAAGGCGGGAGAGGCCTTCGCCTAGGGCCCCCAAAAAATAGGGGCTCCCAATGTGTTACAAAACTCTACCCTATCTTCAAACTTCTGTCAGCCTCTTCATCTCCTCCCGCCCCTATCTCAGTCGCCGCTCTCACATAAAAAAAAAAGAGAAAACCCTAGGTCTCTCTCTCTCTCTCTCTCCCTCTCTCTCTGACCTCTCTTCTTCCAATCTTCCTCCCGTCATTGTCCTCCTCGGCTCCTCCCTCTCGCCCGCCACCATTGACCAAGGTTAGGGTTTCACTTTTTCACTTCTCTGCTCCTTTTGACAAGATCGTGAATTGATGTAGAAATTTTGATTTTAAAAAAAATGAAATTTCTGGTCTAAGCAAAGGTAATTCCTCATCTTTAGATGAAATCGCGAGCTCTCAGCCTCTTTCACTTTAATTTTGCTGGAAAGACCAATTTCATTACAAATTTTCATTTTGCTTCCAATTGTTCCCAAATTCTGCTCGATACACCAATGCCAATTGGTAGTTTATAGGGTTCTTTCTAATCTAATGAGAAGTCTTGTGGTAATACTGCAGAGACACGGTCCTTGTCTCGCCGCACAACACACAAAAAAAA